TATAGACTAGTGAATGTCCCTTAGTGTGGATATATTTATATGTATGGACTAAATAGATATTGTGAGGTGTCTACGGTGTATTTACGTATCGGATCACTGTATGGATTGCAGTTAGATTAGAATTTGCTCGTGGGTCTGACCCACTCCTTTATTATTCTTTTCAGGTACAGGACGGTTCCAGCCTTAAAGCTTGATCGTGCTTGTCCAGAACATTCTCACATTCATCTGATTACGTAGGATTTCTCTCGATGTTTCTAGCATTATCTATTTTCAGTTTCAGTTTCAGTTGAACTTTTGGTTAGGGGTCCACCAGTGGATTCCCAAGTTGTAACTTTGAAGTTTTGGAGGATTGGAGTTTTATTATTTCAGTTATGCGTGGAGAGTTTTATAATTAATGTTTCTTTCGGCTTTATTCCATCTTTATTATTTCATTTTGTCATCTGTGTTCACTTTAAAATACTTTAATTGTTTAATTATTCCCTCGAGTTTGGGCCTGGGCCTGATCAACCCGTGTCTCAAATCCGAGGGGTATCACATAACACTCCCATCATTAATTATCTGCATCAAATGTCCACAAATAAGATCTCTGTAGAATATTTTACTATCACCCAACTGCAGCATATCCACCATGTCTTCCAATTCAATGTAAGACATCATGTCAGGGTCCACATTGTCAACTAGCTTTATGCTACCACCAACATAGTTGCTGCGTTGATTCAACTTTCCCAAATGATGCAACTGAAGTATGTATGTCTTCCCCATTTACTAAACAACCATACAAATATAAGCCGTCACAAACCACAACTACATAAGCTTCTATCAGAAGCATGCATGCATATCAGAGTGAGATATATAGATCCGTCATGCAATATGCATTGCATGCATTAAAAAATAATGTTAGTGTATAAATAATATAAATAATAAAGACATAGACTCAACATCACATATAGAAACATTCCATCAAAAGTACAAACAAACAAAACACAATTATTCTGAGGTACTGTTTGTAGCATTTAGACCCAACATAAAGCTTAGCATTTTTTATACATATGGGACCACTATAGTTTACAAAACTCTCACAATAAATAAGGTCAATCAACCCACAATAATGCACTGGACAAAGCATAAAGACAAGGGACCACTATTGTTTACAAAACCCTAACAATAAATTAATAAAGTCAATCAACCCACAATATTGCATTGAACAAAACATATGTGCATATAAAAATTCGAACTTTATAGTATAAAACCCCAATTTAATGGAGACCAGATCATCGTATTTGGCACATATGGGTCACAATAATGTATTGGGTCACACAAACATATATATACTGAATCTATAAGCAAAAAATACAAATGGACCAACTTACTGACAAACCCCTAATACCACTAAATCGTACATACATGACACAAACATATATAAAGGCCAAAATTGCAAGAGAATATAAGAAAAAATCATAAACCTACTATTGTTTACAAAAACCCTAACTGTTAGGAAATAAATACGAAAAAAAAATAAAAAAAACCCTAACAAATGTTGAGACAAAATCGACCATGCATGCATACACAATTTAAGAACAAAATCCGAAAACATTTAACAATTTACGAGACGAATCAGAGCCCTAACAAATATTGAAACAAAATCGAACCACATAATAATATAAAACATTCAGCGAGTTTACAACTCTTCACAGTGCAAAATTTTACACAAATCTAACATAAATAACACGATTTAAGAACAAACTTTTGATTTAAGAACACTTGCGACACGAATGAGTCTTCACAGTACCACAGCATAACAACACAATCGATCTTTCACCGACTTTATAACTCTTACAAGTTATCTTCAACCGATCAACAACAAATACAGAGATTTAATCGATTTAGAGAACAAATACACATGAAAACGGGTTAGGGTTTCAGAACACTAAGGAATTTAGAGTCGGCCTCTCTCGTATACAATGCAGATTTAGGATTTAAAATGGTTAAGTGTGTTTTATATAATTGGGGCATGTTTGGTTTTAGATTTAATTATATTCAGGTTTAGGTTATCCCTATTTTATACAATTTGAGGTTTATGTTATCCTTCTGTCAAACAAACCCCATTTTATACAAATTTGGACAAAAGGGTCATTTTACATGGCCTGTATTTATAATCATTAATTTATTCAACTGAAGTGAGGGTATTATCATCATTTTACACCACCAGGGACCTATTCGCACCAAATTGATAGTATAGGGGAGTTTTTTTACCACACAGGGACTAATATGCACTATATCGATAGTAGAGGGGGTTTTTTTGCACTTAACCCTTCTAATAACTACCAAAGCAACTGATTATACCCATTCCAAAGATCAGTTTCAAGGAGTCAGTAATTCTGCTGAAATGAAGCTTCTGCTTGGAAACATAACATCAGAATCAATCATTTTCTATCCATTTTTATCCTTCTCTTAATTCCCATATAATTTTCTTATATGTAAAAATGATTGTCACGAATTCTCACCAGCAATGACGGGTAAAGTGCATTAAACCCCCTGAGTTTTCTTTTCTCTCCCACAAACCCCCCTGAACTATGGTGTTAGCCATAGGGATAGTGTCGCACCAATGGTTTTCTTTACCAAGTTATTGCCGCCGAACCTACTGATAAATTTATTTTAGTAATGAAATGGTTTTTAAAATGTTTCCCAACTGTGTTGTCAGTGTTGACTGAACAATTTCTGAAGGTGGAATGGTGGATGGATCAAGAAGCCATTAATTGCATTTTGAAATGAGAAATACACAATTAGATTGTAATTATAAAGCAAAAGCCATTAAATGATTAATCGGCTCATCTGGTATGTTTTTGAAACAATGACACAACATCAATGAGCACCAATCATCTAGTATGTTTTGAAATTTTTGTTCCAATTTCCTTCAAATCTTCGATTAAAGCCCTTTGACAATTTAGTCTATTCATTTCATTTTATTTGACTATTTGAGTGTTCAATTTTGATATTTTTTTGCAATTGTGCTTGATTTGAGTTATTTGAATTTAAATTCCTTATCTTGTCAAGTCATTCTGAAAAATTGAAGTATTTTGATTGAAAAATTGTTTCAATTTAAGGTATTTGAATTTAATTTTCTTTTCATGTCATTAAGTAATTCCTTGTCTTATTGAGGTCTTGCCATTCATCATCAAAATTTAATTTAATGAATGAAATCACATAATTGAGAATCAAAATTAAGAAAATGTGAATGAACATAGAGATTTAATGAATGAAGATAATAAGAAATATAATCAAAATGAAGAAAATGTGAACGAACATGAAGATTTGGTAAATGAAGAACATATGAATGAAAATGGTAATATTCCTTTGAACGTTAATAATCCAAGAAATTGAAAAATATTGATAACAAATTGATAAATTTATTAGTTGAAAGAGGTTCTCCAAGAGATGTTAAACTTGAAGATTTTCTTAAGGATTCAGAAAATAGACATTTCTCTTCTACATATTACATTCGACATTTATCAAACTGAATTATTGATGGGACATAATTTTTTTCATAATTATTGCAGTATTAGAGTCTATAAAAAGGTTAGGTTATTATTTTTCAAATGCTTGGATTGCATATAGAGTTTTGTTGACTGATAAGCACTGAATATTGCATATTCGAGCCCCTAAATATACTTATGTTAAGACCTAAAGCAATACTTCTATCCATTGTTAGACTGATTTATGTTTAATGTGTGTTTATAGGTACTTTCCCAGAGAAACGGTTAAAATCGAGACTTTATGATGAAAAGGCTGATATCAAAGCTTACAGAGTTGTTGCCGGTCATTTAAAACAAGCCGAGAGCTTAAATTGTGAAGTTTGGAAGAATCCAAGTACCAAGGCCCGAGCCGAAGTTCTGAGGCTCGCGCTTTATAAGAAAAAGTTAAAAAATCAACCAAGGCATTAAAGCTCGAGCCGAAGTTCTGAGGCTCGAGCTCTGTAAGAAAAAGTTAAAAAATCAACCAAGGCATTAAAGCTCGAGCCTCGTACCTCCAGAGCTCGAGTCCTATGCAGTGATGCTCAAGCCTTACCCAAGGGTGCTCGAGTCTTTGCCTAAGCGCTCAAGCATGATGCGTCAAAATTTGAAGAGTTGATTTCAAGAAAGCCAAGCTCCAAGGGCCTCGTACCAAACCTCAAGGGATCGAGCACTGTCATTCAGAGCTCGAGCACTGAGCCCCAAAAGCTCGAGCTTTGTACCTAAAGCTCGAGCCCTATGAAACTAGGATCGAGCAATGTTAAAAGAAGAGATCCCTGGTAATGGAGGAGACTAAAATCTATATTGATTGAAGGGTATTTTGGTCATTTTCTGAGCTGATATTTTGGTTCAAAATATAATATTGACATTTTATATTGCTTTAAAGGTGATAGGAGTGTGATCATTCAATTTAAAAAATGACCCAAATATGAGAGATTTTAGTGCAATTTATCCTTAAATATAATAATTATATAATTAAAATTATTAAATAAATAAATAAAACTCCGTAAATAATACGAGTAATAATAAATAAAAAAATAGAATGGTCCTCCAAAAAGACCGTGTGTTTTGGGACGAAAACTAGTTTGGTCGATCCATAAAAGGGAAGAGGAGAATGTGGTGGAGAATTACAAGAGCAGTAGATTTAGGGCTTCTCCAATTTAATCGTGTATGATTTTATACGAAGAATATTTTTTAAAAAAATTAAATTTAAATTTTTCTTAACAATTATGCCATGATATTATCCATACAAATTATATGATATGACTCTTTAATTCTTATTTTATCTGTTAATTAAAATATTTTATAAAAAATGTTAATAACAATTAATATATATATATATATATATAATTTATTATTTTTATATTGCCAATTCTAATCATACCATGTACCTTATTTTTGTATCCGTATTATTTGAGATCCATCCAAAAACAAAGTTATGGAACTATAAGAAGGGCTATCCAAAACCCAAGTGCCTCGGTTATAGTCGATTTTGTTCGCGTCTCGACAAATCGCCAAAGACCTTTGGATCCGAACCGTCCCTGGGCCAAAACTCAAACAAACTCAGCCCGCTACTCAGCCCTAAAGAGAGACAGAACTCCGACTAGGTAGAAGAGAAGTCATTTCCATCTAAAAACACGAAATCAGCCATTAAAACCTCTGGAGAAGACGAAAGCGACTTCGGATACATATATATATACACATATAAGCGTAAGGATTCTGATTCTATGCAAATTCGTCTCTCTTTCTATCTATCTGTATATATTGCGTATATTTGTTTGGAGTATTGAAGGGTTTTGAAATTGTGCTGACGATTTGTGGCTATTAACCTAATCGTGTATTTGAGATTTTGAATTCTCTGATTGGGGACGAATTTGCACTCAATTTGGTAATTTTGTCTGTTTTTCGGATCGTGTGGCTCGTAGGAGAACATCATGTTTCTGAATTGCAATTGAATTAAATACATATAGATACATATTCACTGTATTAAATGTGTTTTTTTGGTTTTGAAACTTGAATTTTACTCTGAATGTGAAGTGAAGTAAACTTACTTATTTTTTTTGTTCGGTTTTCATTCTTCTGGACAGTATTCACTACATTTGCTGATCTCGTGATAATAAAGTAACAAAAAAATGCTCTCTGGATTAAAGTTCATTCCTCGGGATAAACTTGATACGGTAATGCCTCAGTTTTTGTTTTCTTTTGTAAATAACTTTCAACTACATACTCATTTTTGGGTTTTGGTCTTAGGCACAAGATGAGAACTTGGATGATTCTAGTAGAGAGAGAAAGGAATCAAATAGTAGGAAGGAAAAATATAAAACGAAAAAGAAGACTTCCAGTTACAGTAGTTCAGATGACGAGGACCTTGAAAGAATGAAAATAAAATCTAGAAAGAAGAAAAAGTGGTATTCTTCAGAGGAAGATGAAAGTGATGATGTCCATTCTGGTAGCGAAGCTAGGCATCATAGAAAAAGTAAGAAAAATGGACGGAAGAAAAAGGTCACTATGGGAGAGGACCTGCATGGTATGTATCATTCCGGTTGTTTTTAATTGGAGTACATGATATATACTGGTTTTCCATTTTCCCCTGGATTTGTTTTTACTTTTATTCTTTTTCCATCTCCATGTAGATGATGATGGGGAATTTCATTCTTCAAATGCTAAGAACATCATGAGAAAAGAAATGGGATTGGAGTGGATGCTTAGACCTAAAGATGATGCAGAGAGAAAGTCGGCAACAACTTTTGACCATCAGCCAGAGGAAACGCCAGAGGAAACTCCGACTGAAGAGGTATGCTCTCAAATCAAATAATCATTATAGCCGGATTTGTGGTCATTGGTGGTGTTGTTTTGATTCCCAGGTGCCAACTCTTTATTGTCACTTCATAAGTTTTGCAAAATGACTTATCCATTTTCACTGCTAGATGCAATACATATCCTAGAGAATCTTAAAATAACATATGAATTTTACACCATCTAAGGCAGTACAGGCGTTTTAATATCTGTTATATCACATGTAATTACTGTTCGGATTGGCTTAGAATTTTCTCTAAACATGTCCCAGAAAGGGCATGAGCGTCTAGTCTACCTAGATTTATATAAAAGCCACTGATGCTCGGAAGTTGGAAATGCTGTTAAACTTTTCCTTATCCTCTTTTCAATGGTTCATTTTTCCATACTCATTTTCTGTTCTATAATAGTTTCTAGAGGATCTTCTCTAATTTGAATTAACCAGGCAACCAGGCTAATAATTTTATAAGGAATGTTTTTCATCGCCATAAGGTTTAGATCTAGTGGCTTGTTGGGAAGCTTGAGTGGAGGCCTAGGGCTCCGACAGCATAACTGATGATATTAATTTACAATCTGAATGAGAACCATCAGTCTTGTCAAAGGCACACCTATGCGTGCGCTTAGGCTCCAGTCTCATATAGGAGCAACACTTGCCCCTGTTGTGCGCCCAAGTGCGCCTTTGACAATATTTGCGCCTTTAATATGGAATATGATTATCTTTTAATAGTAATTTAATTTTTCCATTGTGCGCCTCGCTTCACTCAGGCGCACCTCGCTTTGACGCCTAGTCTCCAACGGATCTCTAATGCCAACACTGAGAACCATCTTGCAACTTTAAACAAGTGCAATTCAATGTATCATCCCCGTTACATATTTTGATGTTTGATGCAAGTTAACTATAGGAAATTCCCTGAGACATTCTTTGTTCTTGTCATTTTTTGGTTTGTGTGTGTATATGTTATGTGTTGCTTGAGTAGTTGTGGATTGAATACATCAAGAATAAAACTATATCAAGTATAATTCTGGAGATTTTGTATTGAAATATGTACCCCTCGTTTGCTGGTTAATGCTAGTTTGCATGATTTGTGAAACACACATGCTGCTTTTCACATCCTTTATTATGTTTATGTGGTGGTAGTTGTGGGTTTTGTCTGGCAGATGAAGAGAGTGAATCCTAGAGAATTGAATCCATATCTGAAGGATGATGGAAGTGGTTATCCAGAAAATGGAGATGGAGAAAGGAACCATCTTTTGTCTTCTTCACTTGTTGGGGATGGAGGTGCAAGCTGGAGATTGAAAGCCTTGAAGCGTGCTCAAGAGCAGGCAGCTCGCGAAGGACGGAAGCTTGGGGAGGTACGTTGCTATAACTTTCTGGTTTAAGCAAGTCTTCATTATTTATTACTTCTGCTGTATTGAACTAAAAATTTAACAGGTGGTTGAGGAGCGGTGGGGTTCTCTTGGTCAACTGGCAGTTTCTGTGTCCTCTCGTTCAGCTGCCCCAACCCATGCCCATCTGCATGCCATAAAAAGTAGAAAGAGGGGGCAAGTAGAGGAGCAACAAACGCTTACAGATAATCAACATGGAAAGGTTACCGAGAAGGTACCTAGCCATTCTTGATAGCATTTTTGTTGCAAAATGTTTGAATTTTTTCAGTCTTAAGTTAGAATTCTGAATAATAGGGCTGAATCTTTTGGATATGAAATTTTCAATTTCCAGTTGAATATTACTCCACTCAATTCAATCTAAGTCAAAAAATTTCCCCAACTATTTGGGTAATTTATATAAGTCCTAGATACACGAATCCTATTTTGTCATCTTGCTATAAGGCTTTAACCTCAGTCGAATCACATTTTCTCATAGCTTATAATCTCAATCAATGATAGTTTTAGTCTTTTGCTTAAAATAATTTTGCACTCAATTTGGACCACATTAGTCTTCCCAATGGTAAATTTACTGGTATTGGTTGCACATGGCCAAACTATTTTAATAAAATTTTCTCTCATTTTATCTCCTATGGATGTCTTCACAACTTTATCTTGAATGTGTTTATTTTTTATTTGAATCACGAGCAATATAAATCTTAAATTCCTGAAACTTGAGTAGGAATAATTGTTATTTCTTTGAGTAGGAAAAGAGAGAAAAGGGAATTACCTTTTGCTTAAGTGTTATATTTGTTAATATCAGGACACTGGCCTTGAACGGCGACAGGTTGCATTCCACCGGCATCCTCAAATGAGAGCGCCCAAACTTCAAGATTCTTTATCCTGGGGGAAACGGAAAAGTCAGATTATGTCAACAAAGGATGCTGGCATTATCTCTTCCGCAATATCCAGCATGAATAAGTTTTCCAATGACGGAAGCTTCATGAATGAAGTTATGCGTCAACAGTATGATGGTCCTGGTGGTGGTTCATACACGAAGTGTGAGAAAAAATTGGATATTGAACTGTCATTATCGGAATCAGAATTGCCTAGTAAAGATTGTTCAGTTAATAAGCATGAATTAAGTGCAAACCAGTTGGCAGCAAAGGCATTGCAGCTCCGTCTGAAAGGAAACAATGAAGAAGCTGAGAAACTTTTGGTGAGACACCACTTCCATTTTCACATGATTTTTCCTTCCTTCTATTTCTCCCAGTCTACATGAACTTGCCTTTTCAATGTTTACAATTGTTTGTCCATGCTCACGTGTGTATTTTTTAGTTTTTTTCCCCTTCTGAGAAGAGATGTTTGTGCAATATACAAGGGTTTGTAGGGTGTGGAATGTGGGCTTGATCAAAGCTGTAAGAAGCAAGAAATATCTTCATTATTTTTGTTATTCTTGATCACTGATATTATTTTATTAACTTGTTCATAACTAGGTGTTAAATGTTGAAAATAATTGGTCATTTTTAATATCAAATTGCTTATTAATGCTGTAAATTTAGATTTTAAATTGGTAAATGAGGAATTTGAAAGTCCTTTTGCACATCATCTCTTGAGTGAGTACTTAACGCTTTGTGCTGCATGCTTAATTAAGTGGGTAAAATGAGAGGTTTTATGCATCAAGTGTTATTCTATCCCAATGATCTGCAGCTCAGTTGGTTTCCTCTACGTCTCTCAAGCAATGGAGTGTAAGCTGACTGATGTAGACAAGGGGGTTCTTTATGCTTCAAGAAAGCTGTAATGTTGCAATGTATTTAGTTATATAAAAAGAAAGGTAATTTTTTTTTTTAGTTTCCATGACTATTGGACTTGTCAGGTATTTTTTTTGTAGATATGAAGCAATTGTTTGTTGTTATGGTGTACGAGATTATGATTATTGAATTAATCCTACAGCAGGATTACAACTACGAGCATCCTTGCCAATCCAATCAATTATCCTGGGTTTAACAACTTTGATTAAAAATGCTGACGCAATGGCATGATTCTCCCATTTGGTATTCTGAGATTGATGATTTGAATTGATATTTAGCTATTTGATCACAAGGAAACTAAGTATACTAGTAGTTTTATTTATCATTGATGGAGTATTAATGAATTTAGCAGTTTTATTAGGTTTGGCGCATTGATTTATATTTGTTGCCATTGCTGCTAAAGTTGTGTAATTAGCCTAATGGCTTTCTTGGCTCTATAACGAATATCAATAAATGATGCAAGTGGTGTGTTCCTGTAGCTTATTTGCTCCTCTGTTCTTAAATACTTAAATTCTTTTTCTTGAAATAGAAGGAAAATGCTATAACATGTTTTTTTATTTGTTTTTTTTGGTAGAGTAAGGCAATAGTCCATTATATTGTGGCAAGTGCCAAAATAGTCATGAAATGTGCATCATTAATTGTATTTGTGGTACTATGGAAATATGTTTGGACTTACTTTTTGTGCAATAAATATTTGTTGTGTTGTCTTTTGTTTTGTTTTTTTTGTTTTTTTTTGTTTTTGTTTTGTTTTTTTTTATGGTCTCTTTTTTAATCATTTATATGGGGAGAACTCACTATGTGGAAAAGCGCGTGTTAAAAGAGTTTCAGGTTGCTTAGTAATTAAATAAGAAGGTCTGAGGTTTCACATCCATGATTATCTTTTGTTCCTTTGCAGAAAGAAGTAGAGAACATGAAAGTTAAAGAGACTGCTGTGGATGAATCAAGCAGGCCACGGAAGGAAGTAAACACAAGCAGGTAATGTTGCATCTGACTATTGTTGGTTTATTTTTTAAGTGGATTATTGCTGGTGTGTTCCCCGTTAATTGAGGATCCATGGAGGGGTAGACTAGATGCAATAAACCTTTGTCACTATTTGCACAAAATGGCTGCTCTCAACTTTCAAATTAATGTTCTCGTGCTTGAAAACCTGAGTGTTTCACCCATGCACTAATGAAAGCTATAATGTTATTGAACATATGCCTTCATTGTGGTTTCTTTTTGTAGTTCTAAGAATGCTATATGTTTCGGACTTCTATTTGACAACTTACGCTGTGTTTGGAGTCCCAGGATTTCATGAGAATTGGATTTCAAATGTAATTTGATTTGTTTGGAATCATGGGATTTTAAAAGGGAAGGAGAATTGATGGGATTTCAAGGGAAATATTGTAATGTAAGGAAATCCAGGGAAAAATGGAGGAATTTGAAGGGATTCGGTAACTAACTATTATCTTACCAAAATTGTCCTCCAACAATTTCACATATTTGATGTGTCTTATCCAAAATGGTACAAATTTTTTATTTTTATTTTTTCAAATTCCTATTATTCCAAACAGCGAATAAAATCCTATTTTAATTACAATCCTATTCCCTTTTCAATTCTAATTCCAAATCCCAAAAAAAATTGATTACAAACAAAGCGTCAGTCACTTCTATCTTTGTATTCTTTTTCCTTTTTCCTCCTATCTAGAGTAGGCTTGATGCTATAGTTTTCTTCTATTTTCATTTTTCTAGATATATCATGCATGACAAATCTGTTCGGCAAAAGAAGAACGAGGAGGATGCCGACATGCATCTAGCTCAAAAGATTGTGCAAAACCAACGGTATAGCTTAAATACTCAGGCAGATGATGAGTATGATTATGACGATGGTCCAAGGAGAAAGACAAGGAAGAAAGGAGGGGGTAAAGAACACAAGTCAACTGAGATGACTAATTATGCTAAGCGCATCATGACTCAGCAAGAGCGCTGTCAGTTTTGCTTTGAGAATCCAACAAGGCCAAGGCATCTTGTTATTGCAATTGCAAATTTCACATATTTATGCTTGCCCCACTGGCAACCTGTTGTTCATGGTCACTGTTGCATTTTACCTATGCAGGTTAGTTTAATTTCTATTTTAGATTTATTGTATGTTCATCTTATACTTTTCTTGTTATCAACCAAATAATTTATGTTTTCATTTAAGTTTGGTGTTGATTAATGTTGACTGTTAACTCCTACCAGGGAAAGAACATTAACTCAGCATTTATGGAAGTAAAGATGCTTTATAGAGACGAAACCTTTACTTTTTTATATTGATTGTAGTTCAGTATTTAAATGCAAGCCGATTCCTTAATTAGGATATACTGCAAAACAATAAAGAACGTGAATGCTGCAATTCGTTAACCCGAGCTATTATCCGTAATATCAAGTTAACTTGTTCAATTCCTCTTAGTAAACGGGGTGAACTCAAATTGAATGCTATGTTAAAAAATATAAATTATCATGATAGGATTATTTTTATTAATCTTCTGATGCATTGTTTGTTTGTTTGTTTTTTTTTGTTTTACCTAAACAGCATGAATCGGCCACAAGAACTGTTGACAATAACGTGTGGGATGAAATTCGCAACTTCAAGAAATGCCTCATCATGATGTTTGCTAAACAAGAGAAGGATCTAGTGTTCATTGAAACAGTGATGGGGTTGGCGCAGCAACGGCGCCATTGTTTGGTCGAGTGTGTTCCTGTGCCCCAAGAAATTGCAAAGCAGGCACCTCTTTACTTTAAAAAGGTCTGGTTTTTTAAAATTAATTTCTATTTTACTTATCAATATTATTATTACTTTTCAGTTTTTGAACCTGTGTCCTCAAAAGTGTTAGTTTGGAATAATTTGAAAAATTCTCCTTTTCTCCTTTTGCAAATATTTTACTTCACTTTTTTTACAATCATACAGTTAAATAATAATAACATAATAGGGAATGCTGCACAGTTCATAGAGTGAGCTCTGTACAAGTGGCATTTATCCGCTCTATAGTTTGCTCGAGATGAAAGCGGTACCTTAAAGATATTGGTTGTGTACAAGAAAGCTCCATGTACGATAGACTTCATGGTGTATATGGATGTTAACAGATTGGTTCTCTGTTTTCTTACTGCTATTAGGAATGTTTCATTGAAATATCTTAAAACTGTTTTATATCTGTTTGAAGCAATTGTTGAACTATTAGGAAAAATATTAATAATTATCTAGATGATAATAAATGACCTTTCTAACTTGTTTCAGTAAGCATGCCTTGTCCTTATCATTATCTAAGATACTTCGACTCTGCTTATAAAATTGGTCTTTGTTATTTGTTTGGGCAATTTTCTTACTTTTTGGTAGCATAATTGTTAATACTCATTTGAACTCCAAATTCCATTGACTGCAAAGACTAATATTAGATTGAACTTTTAGTTTAAAAGAAACGAAGCTAAATTGTATAATGCGAGGAATCCTGAATGTTATCTGTATCTCTCTTCCATATTACACTGTGTTTATCTCGATACATAGATCTTTTCTTTTGGGCACTTCTTCCAAATTCGCTTTGACAGAGTATGTTTGGAATCTGCTCTGAATTACTTCTGGGGATTAAGGATGATGAGGGATTCCTTTTGCTATAGAAAATATGGGCTTGCACATCGGGAGTATTCCCAGTGACTTGTTTTAAACTACTTAAGTCGTATTGTTTCCTCTAAATATATTTTTTTGACACAAAGTGTCTGCTTTTGCATGCTGCATAATTGCTGAGAATATGTTGGTGATGGATGACTTGGGTGGGATTTTTACCTCTATGGGCTATCCACCACTCTTTATTGGATTATATCGATTTTCTTTTGGTGAAACTTTACATGCTCATTTTTACACTGAGAAGCTCCTATGTTGACACAAAGTAAATAGTCTTTATATGCTGAAGAGTTAACAAGAAGGTTATTGAGATTAGTGAGTTGGGTGACTCACCAACCTCTATAGGCAGCCGAGTGAGGTTATTTTTTGATATAATGTAGAATTGCCTTGGGCTTGCTGACAAGTTAATGGAACTTTCTTATGTTTTTAGCTGTCTAGATCTATGGTTTGTATTTATTATGAGTTTTTTTGCGTACAAGTTTCTAAAAATATGTTTGCTACAGGCAATCGATGAAGCTGAAGATGAGTGGAGCCAGCACAATGCAAAGAAGCTTATTGACACAAGCCAGAAAGGGTTGCGTGGATCAATTCCAAAGGATTTTCCGTACTTCCATGTAGAATTTGGTTTAAATAAAGGATTTGTTCACGTTATTGACGACGAGACACAGTTCAAAAGCAGCTTTGGCCTTAATGTTATAAGGGGCATGCTACAGTTACCTGAGGAAGACATGTTCAGGCGACGGAAGCATGAATCAGTGGAGACGCAGAAGCAAGCCGTTGCAAGTTTTTCCCGAGATTGGGAACCTTTTGACTGGACAAAGCAGCTTGGGTAGGCATCGAAACCTTGCAACATTTTATGATCGTGGCCAGGCTAGAATTCTGTGCATATATGGTGTTGCTGTTGATTACTACGGATAAATATATACATAAACATCAGTCATTGCTGGTGGGTTGAGTTTTGGTACTTCCTGATGGAATACTCCGGTAGTTTGATAATGAACTCTGTATCATTTTAATTAGGTGAAGTTGGAGATGTGGGGGCGATTTTCATCTATCCTGAAGGCAACCTGCACATTAATCCACATTGCCTTCCGATGTAGTCTTCTTCACTTGTATGAAACGGAGGCACACGTCCTCTGCCTTAAGGAAGATAGTACACATCCTCTGCCTTTTTCATCCAAATTGCAGGTTCTATGTGTTTTATACGTCAGTCATTGCTGGTGAGAATTCGTGACAATCAGTTGTACATACAAGAAAATTATATGGGAAGAGAAGGTTAAAAATGGATAGAAAATGATTGATTCTGATGTTATGTTTCCAAGCAGAAGCTTCATTTCAGCAGAATTACTGACACCTTGAAACTGATCTTTGGAATGGGTATAATCAGTTGCTTTGGTAGTTATTAGAAGTCATTATTCTTGATAAATTTCTACATACAACGTGGTATCAACTTAAGTTTTATTTCATGAAAGAACCCATAGTGATTAACGAACAAGAGAAGCGAACCCACATCATAGTAGTGATTAACGAACTAGACAAGCCCATGTTATTTAACAACTCAATTAATTTTCAGAACTTCAGCCAAACATTAGGAAAAAAAAAAATCATTTTACCAGAAATTATTTTACAAGAAAAATATTTTACGGTCAAACAAACAGGGTCGTAGTTCATAACATTTTACTGTCAATGTAGGAATTTTCCCATCCCTCCAACGATCACGACAGTTTAACTCGAGCAAAAACATTTTATGTGTTAAGACTAATTCTTCAAAAAAATGAGTAGATGATGAAAGTTTTCTTGTCATTGAAAATGTTGAAAATGAATCTTGAACTTTCACTCATATTTTGAAATGTAATGTGTCGCAGCGCCGAATTGGTGCTTAAAATTTGGGATTAAAAGAAACTTTGTTCAAATTTTGTACTAAAATTTATTCAATCTCAAGTCGAAGCCAGTTTCGCCAAACATAACATTATTATCTACTTTTATTGTTCCATTTGTATTGTTTTTCAATGTATGAACTTTTCCATTGAAAATGAGTTTCCAACTTTCCAAGCACCATGAGTTGAAGAGGTAGGATGTTTAAAGTGGTGCAATGCTGGCTACATTACGGCTCAAGTATACTCTAATCAATTGCTAGATGTACATAGAGACATAGGTTAAGTAAATGGATGACCTATTGAGTTGGAGACATTGATTATGTTTGTTCCTCGAATTTGCCAAAAAAAAAAAATTGCAAAAAAATTAATGTTGTTCGAATGGAATTGTTATAGTAGTTGAAAAGAAATGGCCGAATTGAAAATGGGAGGAGAGGCTTGATCTGGGCCAAACTGGTGTGTGGTAAAAAGTGATAAAGTTTTTTTTTTTTTTTTTTTTTTTTTTTTTTTTTTTTGTGAAAGTTAAAAAGTGTTAAAGTTAAACCTACTAGGAAGGAGGTCAAATCTCTAATGGGTACGATATTCCTTTCGAACGGTTCAGATTTCATATCACGTAGAGTATTTCCTTTTTCATCTCGTCCTCCGCACCGTTGGATCCATCTTATCATTTTTTCTTCTTCTAGAAATTACGCAAACACACCCGGCTCCGTGTCAGAGCGTGTAGTGTGTGTAGAGATTTAAAGTAGTATATGTAACCCTAATTGGATGTGTAAAGAGCACTTCTTGTATTCCTCTTCAGTGGTGTACGGCGGTATTTACTGAATTTTGGCCTCCTGGTTTGATCCGTTTCATTTGTTTGTACAGAGAAACAACAGTTGAGAGCAGGGTGAGATTCTCTCGTCTCTCTCTCTTTATCTACTGTTTTTCTCTGTACAAAGAAATGAATTGGCTCATGGCTCATCTCTTTTCCTAAAGAGTAGATCTGTATCGATCTTAATTCATTTACTTTCATGGTTTTTGGCAGTGCTTATTTGGTTATATATAATGTGTTTGTCCTTGATGCTTCTGTTTTTTTGACTTCCACTTGATCTTCTAACCAAAAAGAACCAAAAGATCTAAAGTTTTATTTTTTAATTTATTTTTCAGTTGGTGTTATTTTAAGGTCCCTGCAAACATTCTTCTCTTCTCACACTCTGACACACACACTGATAAAATAGATGTGACTATGGACTTACTTAGCAATCTGCAGATAAGTGGAAGAATCTACTTGATTTTTTGTAAGAGAATATATATATTTATATATATTGAGTTTTTTTAAGTGTTGAAAAATCAACAAACTGTACACACCCTCCTATAAAAAGATATTTGTAGAACTGACTTTTATACTTGTTAGCACAAAATTTTCTGAGGAAGCAATTGGAAAAGTTTGAGGCCTTGTGTCCTTTATGATTAATTCAATTTAAAGTAGTTATTTGTGTCATAGAAATTTGTTCAATTCATTCTCTTGTTGAAAGATTCACATAAGGTTATGTTGAGACATTCTTTAATGTAAAAATATTGTCTCATCATATCATATAAATTGTTTGATATCTCCACACAGATTTTGTTTGATTACTACTTGAAAAATATCAACCTATAATAAATTATGATGAGACAATCCTTTATTTGGCAACACTGATAATTTTTTTTTTAGCATTGTTCGACACAGTCATAAGTATACACACACAACCGTGTTATGCAATGGGTTTGGATTGAACAGCTTTGTTTTTTCCCTCCAACCAATTGGGTGGGTGTTATATTATATAAAGGCTAAAATTTCTGTGTCTAAAGATTTGCAGGGAGTGTTTTTATGCGGTGTTTGAGGAGGAAATCCATAGGGTAATTGTTGACAACCAGCTATTCAAGCCTGGGGAACGCGTTGCTATGGGGGCTTCTGGGTTGTGATTGCCCAAACACGAGTTATTTGGAGATTATATTAAAATTTCCTTCCGTTAAATTCAACCACAAAGAAGCTTGTTAGCTTAACTTATAAATAGTTGAGGTTTGTAGAATGAATGTTTGGTTGATTGTCATATAGTACCAATCTAATAGATGTTTTACTTATCACCTTGTCTTGTTTTTTTTTTTTATTTTTTTATTTTTTTATTCAGAAATATCGAAGATGAAATAATTTGTGTGTACAAAAGGACTCAGTTCAGTTGTTTTCTTTTTACTCGTTTTCATTTTCTTTGAGGTTCATGAAAATATCCGATGGCTTGAGGTTCCGGGGTACTTTCTCTCTATAAGAACTAAGAACCCAATATCTGTAACAAAGTAACTGGATTTTCATCCAACTTCGGCTTGAATGTTCTCTCATTCTTTTGCTGCTGGTTGAAAAGACTATCTTGACAATAGAGAATACTAGGTACCTATTTATTTATTTATTTTTTGATAAGTAAATTTGTATAAAAGTACTATAAAGGGGAGCGCATTCCAAAAAAACTATACAAAGGACAAATAGGGCCTATAGACATTCATAGAAGCAAAAAAAATTAACAATATCCTCTAAAGATTTATAATATATCCCTACAACCTAACAAAAAAAAAAAGTAGAAATAATAAAGAACTTAAGAATAGAAATAGGATTCTCCTTTCCTACGAAAGATTTCTTGTTTCTCTTGAGCCAAATACACCATCAGACACATAAAGGTGTAACCCTCCAAACATTATGGACTTGGCCCCTACTATACAACTTCTCCAAGCCTCAATCAACCCTGGAATATTTGGGCATGACCTACATCCTGGACTTGGCTCCCATTATACAACTTCTCCAAGCCTCAATCAACCCTGGAGGATTTGGGCATGACCTACAGAATTCCAAACAAACCAAGTATCAAGTCCCAACAATCTCTAGCAATGGTGCAATGCAAAAAGAGGTGGTCCATTGACTTCTCATCACGAAGACACATGTAACAATAGTTGACCACAACCTGATTCCTTCACCTTAAATTGTCCTGGGCCAAAATCTTTCCCAAAACAGATGTCCAAGCAAAAAGGCCACCTTATAAGGAGCCCTAGATCGCCAAATAGCCTTCCACGGGAAGGAAACCCAGACTCCTCCGTAAGACACCTATAGAAGATCGAACATCAAACCGACCCTAAGAAATAAGGATCCAAATCCAACAATTAGAAACACCACCCGTGATCTCCTGACGATACAACAACTCCAAAAAACCAATGGCATCCTCAATTTCCCAATCCTGAAAGTGCCTCCTGAAACAAACATTCCAAGACGATCTCCCGCTATCAAGCCGATAACAGTTGACTGCCATGGCCTGCCTATCCGTGGCAATCCTGAAGAGCCGGGGGAAAGCAAGAGCAAGAGAACGGTCACCACACCAAATGTCCTCCTAGAAACTAATCCTTCTACCATCCTTGAGTTGAGATCTAATGTGTTTAGAGAATCCATCCCACCCTTTCCGAATGAGTTTCTAAACCCCTACACCCTTTGGAAAACGTCCCTCAAGAGAACACCACCCTCCTCTCCCCTCCCCAAATTTACTCGCTATCACCCTCTTCCAAAGGCTATGCCTCTCCACCCCAAACCTCTAAAGCCATTTCCCAAGAAGAGCCTTATTAAAAGGTACCAATCTTCTAAAATTCAGACTCCATTCCGGATTGGATTGCAAACTTGTTCCCAGTGAACAAAATGATATTTGAACTCCTCCCCCACAGAAAATTCCGTTGCAATATCTCAATTCTCTTAGCTATAGAAGAGGGAATCTGGAATAGGGAGAGAAAATAAGTGGGGAAGCTTGAAAGGGTGCTCTTAATTAGAGTGACCCTTCCACCCTTAGAAAGGTACTGTATCTTCCATCTTACCAGTCTCGTGTCAAATCTTTCTACAATAGTATCCCAGCAGCCCACACACCTCGAGGATGATCCAAGGGGTAAACCCAAATAAGAAATGTGAAAGGAGCCAATACAACATCCAAGGATATCAGCCAACGATGCGATTTCAGGGACCCCCCCAACCAGCACCAAAATGCTTTTCCTCACATTCATCTTCAATCTGGAGTTAACTTGGAACCAAATCAAAACACATCTTAAGTATCTCATCTGGGACACATCCGCATCACAAAATACAAGAGTATCATCCGGGAACATCAAGTGAGAGATATCCAACTGACTAGCAGCATCCCTGCCCACCCTAAAGCCTTTCAGAAAACCCAATCCATAGCCCTCATCAATTTACTAAGAGCCTTCATCACAATAAGGAACAAGAAAGGCGAAAACGGATCCCCCTATCTCAAACCCCTCAAACTGTAGAAAAATCCCGTCGGGGCACCATTCACAAGAACAGAGAATCAAGCACTAGAAATACAAAACTAAATCCATCTCCTCCATTTCACACCAAACCCCATCCTCTCCATCAAATAGAGAATAAAACTCCAACTCACATGATCGTACACCTTTTCAATGTACAATTTTTAAAGAAAACCAGGGACCCCACTACATAATATGGAATCTACACATTCACTAGCAATAAGGGCTAAATCTAAAATCTGACGACCTTCAACAAAAGCATTTTGAGAGTCAGAAATTACCCCATCCAAGACTCAAATAAATCTCGAAAGAAATCTATCAAACAAAACAACTGAAAAAAATTATAAATAGTAGATTTATAAAAATTATCAGTGTTTATGGTGGATAAAATAAAAGTTATAATAAGGATGAGTTGTTGTGCCCATTACAAGTAAAAGAATAAATAAATAAAATTGTACAAAATTAGAAGAACATGAGGTATCAAACAAAGAAGAAGAAAAAAAACGCAGTATTTAAATCTACTACTATCTAAACTTGTTAAAAATTCAAAATCTACTATTAATATTCAAAACTTGTTAAAAATGTGTTTAATTTGTATTCAATAGAAATTCTATGATTAGGATAATCTAATAAGTACGAATATTTCTGAAAAAACTGTATTGGATATCATATCGGATATTGATACTTTCAAATATCAAATATTTATTATAAATACATTTTAAAAAAATAAAACACGTATTTAAAAGTATCAAAAGTATCAATATCCGATATAATATCCTATACGACACATCACGCTCTAGTGTCTTTTCCATGTCATTCGAAAGCTCAGTCTAGTGGTTTTGGAGGAAGACGGTGAGATGTTCCAATCACTTAAGATGTGCCTTAAAGCTGCACAATTTTTGAAGACTCTAAGCTTGAGGATGGCGATGATGGAGTAGATCTTTGTCAAGAGGACTCTCTACGAATATTGCTTCCCATGAAATATTCGATCATTTCTTTCCTCCCATGTGTGGTTGGAAAGACATGATAGACAAACTTTCCGAAGCATGTTTGCTGCTGAATTGGATTTCCATTTATTGCTGATTCATTGAACTAGGATGTCTCAGTTTCGGATTTGATAGAAAAATTTGCATTTGTCTTTCACATGTCTCTAAATTGGTGAGATGAAAGGGCAGCCAAAGAAAAGATGATCATGAGATTCTGTGTGGTTTTGGCATAAGACACAGAGATTATGTAGATGTGTCATCGATTTCTCGTCTAATGTTGAAAGTCTGGATTGCACAGCTAACTATAAATTAAATTTCATTATGGGGACATTTGGTAACTTCCATACCAAGTTGCGCCATGGGGTTAGAGGTAGGTATCCTCAAAGATAAATTATGGTATGGTTGAGACTATACAGCCCTGATGGATAAGCAACCCAAACTTTTTCTGTCTCTCTGGATGAACAAGGAGGATGCAAATATAGCAATTCAGGAATCATTGTGGTGATGCTTGGAAGAAAAGACTATGAATTGTTGACAATGAACAATGGTTTCCTCATTGAGTCCAGCACTGATAAGAACTTGAGATGGGAATCTAGAGCACAGAGGACCTGCAGGAGTCCAATTGTCCAATGAAAAGGAAGTTCTAAGGTCATTTCCAATTCTATACTTGATGAAGAGCTTGTTGTGTCTTAGTTGAAGTACTTTCCTCTAGCTCCATAAGCAAGGCTGATGATAGTTGAGAGACCATACCTTTCTGGATTTGATTAGATGGGAATGGCACCACTTTATTCATAATCTGTCTGAATTGTCATCTTAGAGGTCCCAAATGTGTCTCAGAATGCTAGCATTGTTGGATAACTTAAGATTAGGGATCCCCAATCCACTTGTATCTTTAGGTTTGCACACATTACTTCAAACAATTTTTGCTCTAGTGGACTTCATCTCTACTCCTGACCATAAAAAGGATCCTATGTAGCTCATTGATTGCACCTTCGTATGAAAATGTTTTTTTTTTTTTTTCGAAAATTAAAGCTACTGATATATATAAAAATAAATAAATGTAAAAAACGGGCCTTTGGCCAAACCAACCCAAAAGGGAGAACAGGTGCAAGAAGGCAAACAACCTATAAAGGACAAGCAGCCCATAAAAGGGACAAGCAATAGCCCAATAAGGCAACAAAACTAACTACCCCAATTAACGGACTAAAAGCCGTCGATTAAGGAAAGCAGTTGAAACATTCCGGTGAGAAGGACGTTGGCTCCATTGTAAGAAGGCAATAGGCAGCTCAATCCGGCGAACGCGGCGGTAGCCGGTAACAAAAAGGAGAACGGTTCTAGTCAGTTAGAATATGACGGGAGGCTGCGTAATCGTTAAGGAACCCCAGTTTAAGGATCGAGATGATGGTGTAGCTAATCTTTGCTAGGATTGCTCTCTGAGATGACTTCTTACTTTGAAAGATTCTAGCATTGCGTTATTCCCAAGTGTGATAGACCACGGCTGATAGACCAATTTTGCGAAGCTGATTTGCTGGAGTGTTTATCTTCCACAGTGAATTGGCAAGCTGAATCAACCCATCCCAATTTTGAAATTGAGAGAAGAAGTGGATCTTGTCGCGGATAGACCTCAAAACTGGGGAGATGAAACAATATCTAAAGAACAGGTGATCATGGGATTCTGCTTCAAGGCTGCATAGCACACATAAGTTGTGGTGTTGTGCCATGGATTTGTTGTCAAGAGTGGGGAGTCTTGATTGAACAACAAGCCGTAGGTTAAACTTCATCCTTAGAATAATTGGGGAGTGCCAAACTAAGTTT